TGTTGTGTTAATGTTGTGTTAATGTTGTGAAACATTAAATCAATCATAAAAATCCATATCATTCTCTGTGTGTAAATCAATATATTGTTTTTACATTCATTAAATTTATTTGTCTTTTATTTAAATGATATTTTGTGTTGACTAATGCATGAATACAAATAAATACATTATAATTTACGAGTCGATTATATTGATTTTGTAATGTTTGTCAATAGTATCACTTTGTGGTCAATTGGGAGCACTTATTTGGGTGTTAATAGTGATCAACGAGAAGCCCAAAGACGCGCAGATATCTATAGTGAGTCGCGAGGTGTTTGAGTCGAGTTCAGTGGTCGACTCCGAGGGCTCCATCAATGAGTCGATCCGATCGTACGACTCGCCGGCCGTCACATTCAAGAGACATATCCGGCAATTGTTTGACATCAGTAATGTTGTCGACATATTCTACACGTGTATCAAACGGCGACCCAACAGAGCCAGGACTCAGATATGGCTGCTGTTTGTGTCCATATGTTGTGTCATGTTGTCGTACATGGGTTCAGTGATCATTCTGTGGCAATACGTCGAGAAACTGTTCAGTTGGTCCGCTAAATACTACTCTAATATCAACTCTTTGGTCACAGTTTTTACCATCATTTCGATGGCTATTATAATACCGGTGTTTATGAAGAAATTGAAAGTTCGAGACATGCTTTTAGGTATGATATTTGCAATCATCTCTTATTTTCACTCTTGTTTCGCTTTAATGATACGGTATCTGTGATATACCGGTACAGTAAGTTACTGTAACTTTTATAATATAAAACTTTTCTTAAACCCTTTAATTTAGCATAAAATAGAAAAGAAAAGAAAAAAGTTGAGTCTTATATTTCCAATTCATGTGATTTTAGCTATAAATTAGCAAAAAAGAAATGACCCTTAATCTTATCGTTCAGTTTTTTCTAGTACTCTCTTTTTAATGTTTACTAAACCATAGTTTATCGCAAAGTATTTTACATCAAAATACTAGAAATTGTCAGTTTATTATCAGATTGAAAGTGAAAACCATTTCTGGGATTGAGTCCAAAATATAAACTGCAAATCAATAGTCTATTTAGACTAAATAGACTTATCTCTATTCTGAATAAAATTAATACTGTATAACTTTAAATGAGCACAACTGGGACACATAATATACCGTATATTATGAATATTAATGACTAAATAATTAAATCATTACTTAATTACAAATACAAGAATTTTGTAAATACCTAAACATGTAAATATAATATATAATGTAATTACTGGTATGTTGTGCACAGCCATCATAGGAGTGGTATCCCTATTACTTCAATGTCTTTTGCGTGGTTCGTGGCAACGACCGGACGGTCTATACATGTCATTCGTTGCGGGTATGTTTGCGCCCATTTCCATGATAGCCATCCGTTCCCGTCTGTCAAAGATCATCCACGAGGACGAGACGGGCAAAGTGTTCAGTTTGATGGCAACGGTCGAGTCAATTATGCCATCCTTGGCCTCAGTCTACTACTCAAGCATTTTCGCGGCCAGTATTGACACCTACCCGGGACTGGCCTTTCAAATCGCCGCTTTTATTCTGTTAATACCATTGATTTCATTCATTTGGATTGACTTATATTGTAAATAAATATATACTTTATTTGTTTAGTTTTGAATGATTAACAAATTGTATTTTTATCGTTTCATTATATTTAAACGTGAATTGTATACCTATTTTATATTTAATTATATCGATATTGCAAATGTTTATGAGATTTAATGAATTAAATTAAATTATATAAAGATTTTATGTTTTTTAAATTTGTAAAATAAATTTAAAATTTACGCACATTTGATGACTTTTTCATTTATTCAATAGTTTAGTCAAACTTTTGTCGCAATCCATGTACCGGTGAGTGTTATGCAATGCAATACAAACACGTTATTTGTACACAACTAGGAGTTCAATGTTTTTACAGTATTTTGATTTTGTTTTGATTTGCATTTCATTTGAAAAACTTTAAAACGACTATTCATTTGACAATTGAATCAAACACTTGATTGATATGTGATTTGCTATTCATTTAACCATTCATTGGATTGTCCGCCGAAGACATCGACAATGAATTGTGTGTTCATTGAAAGGACAGCCCAACTGTTGAAGGACTGGTCCAACACTTATTGGACGCAAAACAACATATTTAT